TCACAAGTCTGAAATTGTTAGTGTTTGAGCTAGTAAAACTAAATGATCACTAGGATATGGCTTAAATACAATAGACCATACACATTAAATTAATTTAACATTCAGATTTTAAAATAATTATTTTATGTTTAAGCAAAGCTGACTACAATTTTTAAATAGAGGACTAGAAGAACAGAATTAGTAGGTTAATGTTAACAATGGGTTATAATCATAGACTTACTTGGTTTAACACAAAAGGAGTTTTGCATATGAAACCAGCGAGATCCAGGATTTCTTGGAATGGAGATTTGGATATCTGGGGCCTGCTTTATACAGCACCATTTAAAAGAATTTTGCTTTTCAAATTGATTTGGAAGAAGTACAGATATATATTTTTTAGGTCTGAGTGTAAAAAAAAAAAGTTTCCAAGCTTCAGGCTTTCCACATTTGAAAAATAACATACATGGTTGTGGGAGGAATTATACAATTTATAGTTCTTCATGTTAGTATATAGTTTAAGCTATACTTATACTGTTTCCAATGAAAGATAAGTTTAAAAATTAAATTTGCTTGACAACAAAAACAAGGAAAGTTCCTAATGCCTAATGTTAGAGTCTTCATGGGATGTGTCCTTGACATGAGTTGTTTTTCTTCAATTCTATTAACCCACAGAATGGTAAGTAACTTTGTCTACTGACTAGGAAGAAAAAAAAATCTACTTAAATACTTTTATTATTTTGCAGAAAAAGGACCTTTAAAAAATCAGCAATCTAAATTTTAAAAAGAATTTAACTTTAAGAAAAAAATGTCTTCTAGTGCCATTTTCATCTGCTTGGCCAAAAGTATAGAAAAATTGTATCTACATGTCTACTATGATTAAAATGAAAACCCTATATACAGAAATTATGATTCTGTATTGCTACATCATTAGTGTGTTCTTATACTCAATACTGATTGAGTCTGTCTATGAAAGCGATCTGGAGCCAGGCCTTGTTCAAAAACCTCAGCAATTGAGTGAGTTAGTGTTCAAGCTCCCCCAATCAAATCATTGTAGGGGACAGAAAAAACAATCTCCTTCAAGGACCAACATCATGAATATAAAACGCCTACATATTTACTTTTATATGATTTGGACTTCATAATTTCAATGTATGCAAAACTCTTTTGTGTATTTTGTTGTTAGACTTTTGCTTAGGAAATGTGAAACCTTCACCCAATCACAAACCATATACATTGCTCCATTCTCTCTTTTACACTGAGTCTCCTACTGAATCCAAATCATCCGAAGAGAGGGGGCGGTACAGGTCCTGTAAGACGAAGGGCGGTATAGATTTGTTTACTTGGCTTTCTTGGGTACCCTGTGGCTCTCTTAGGAGTGGAGCAATACTGAATAGTATCCTTGGTGTCTAACATCATTAGACCTTTCAGAGTCACCAAGTTGAATGAGAGGAAAGGTAATAATTGAGAAACCATCTAAAAAGACAAAACTGGTGCTTATTTTGCCTTATTGACTTGACCTGCTCATGAGCCTTTGCCTTCCATTGTGTTCAGTTGAGTTTTACAGCCCCTGAAGTCTATCAGTGCCAACTCTGCTTCTATGTGTCTAGGCTAGTCTTCCATGAACACTTCCTTCCTATTCTGGGTAGAAGACGAACGTGCTTACCTCCCAAAATAATTTATTAGGAGCCCTAGCTGGCGTTCAGCAAATTCTGTTCCCAGGGCAGCAACTCAAGTGTTGCATTGCACATTGCAGAAACCCAATAAACAGTGCCCTTTCAAATTTTGTTTGGAAGACAGAAAGAATGTCAACTGGAACTACCTCCCTTCCTAGTATTCTTCTCTGGTTCCCCAACCACTCACCTATCACTTCCCCATTTGTCTTCTCTGCCCCTTTCTGCTATGAGATCTCTCTGTTGGTAGCCAGGCAACCAGCTCAGATCTGCAGTGTCTAGAATCCTGGCTTCTTTTCCATTTTGTACCACCCACTCCTCACATCATCGCAGTGATCAGATAATCCACAAAAGTCAGCAATGTGGGAGTATAATGGGGAGCTTCATTCAATCTACATGACACATTTCTTTCTGATATATTAAGAAACGGGACCCAGGAAAGTTCATGGATGGAAAAGATCTTCCAATATCTGCTTCTGTGACCAGTCAAATGCTTCTAGGCAGCAATTTAAATAACTGTTTTATAGAAGTAGGGAGGTTCCCCGGTACATTGCCAGCAATACTTTTATGAAGAAAAATACCTGGCATGCAGACTCTTATTGTACATAACTATTCTAAGAGAGACAACATAAAAAGTATGACTTTAAGGGAAGAAGAAAAAAAAAGCTGATTGAATCATCAAAATTAATATGTTTGATTTGTGAAGAAAGTGGTCAAATGTCTCAATATTGCTTTTAAAAAAACAGCTTATATCCCTGTGTTTTAAAACGAGGTAGAAAGTGTGTGTGTGTGTGTGTGTGTGTGTGTGTGTGGTGTGTGTGCGGGTTGGGGGGCAGCCAAGTAATTTTCCTGTCCATGTTGCTAGGCAACACAGAGAAAAATAGAAGTCGCTACTGTTTTCCAATTTGCAATAAAAAGAGTTAATTTATTCATTGAAATGTCTTCTTTTAGCACTTGCCATCTTTCGCTTATTTCAGTATTTCCTGCATAGGAGTATAGCCAACCATTTGAGAAGAACATTAACCAAATTTGAAATAGGATCAGTTTGGGAGGATATTCAAGGCCCATTTAAACTGGGATGGGTTATTTGATGAAGTTGCCTCCACACCAAGATGAAAGGTCCTCTTGCTAAAGCAGCTCAGAATGTACCCATCCACTGACATGGGGCAGGAAAGGAGGATGTTCTTTTATGGCCTCCATTCTAAAGCCTGGAGACTACACCATCTCTGAATTATCCAGTGCTCTGCTCACAAGGTGTGCTTAATAAATGTTTTCACATGAGGATAAATGCTTATCTCCCTAAAACAAATGGGATTGTTTTTCCCTCTCAAGTGTGGTGCTTGTATTGGTAGTTGAAACCACCAAATGAAATATCTGTAAGAGAACCGTCCCTTATAATCATTTCCCAAGTGCTGACAATTTTAATTACACAAGCCATTGGGCACACAGCTACTAGTAGCTGGAAGGAAAATTTCTGCCTCAGTTGGACAAAGTAATAGTGAAGTAGAGAATACAGAGGGCAGAAGAAGTAAATTCTAGCCTCCTTCTGCAAACAAAGGGACCATTGAACAAAGCGCTTATGTCCCTAAGACAGAGAGCTCTCCACAGTAAGCAAGCAGGGAGAGAAGCTCAGATCTATGGCAGGGATTCTCAATCACTCTAATTTAATCTCAATAACTAAGCATGAGCTAAATCCTGAATCTGGGTTTAATAACCTCCAAGGATAAAGAGGAATTTCTATGCCAGGTGTACTCTCCGAAGTATACATTTCAAAAGAGAGAATGTTCTGTGAAAAAGGACCCGTTCTCTGCTGTACCTAGTGGCTGCTCCTATAGATGAGGACCTCACTGGGTAATATTCACAAGAAAATAATCACCCTACGACCCCTTCCTCCACTCAAGGATAGGATAGACATTTAGGAGATTAAATTAAATTGGCCAATTCTTCTTCTGGTAATTCACTATGACTCCTATACTTCAAAATGCAAAATTAGACTGCAAGAAGAAAATCATAGTGAAAACACTCAGATGGGACTGAAATGGAATTATTAGACTATCTATCTAGAAAGAGCCTCCTTTTTTCTTTTGTTTTTCCAACTGAGTCCCAGAGAGGATAACAGACTTATCTAAGATAACACTGCCAATTAGTGGAGGAGATGGTGCCAAACCCCAGGCCTCAGCTGATAATCTGAACAGGCCAAACCTGATGCCAAGAGGATCAGTGGAGAAAGACAATACGACCTGATAATTGGTGGGACAGGCTCCAAAGGGACTGGGGACTGACTGAGTCCCCTGCCCCACTTTTTGTCAGTGGTATGTGGACAAAACCTTGGCAGGAAGCTTGAACAGAGAAGCTTCCAACTTGGTTATAGTTTAAATTTATGGAATTTAGAAGTCTCATCTTAAAAGACATAATAAAAGAAACCAAATTCAAGCATCTAGTCTTTGAGTTCAAAAGCTTCCAAGGAGCCCTTGCTATTAAAATATTCAGTGAGCACCGTGATAAAACCTGCTAAGTGCATGTCTTCCTCCCCACCTCTCTTGTGAAATCAGGACAATGAAAGGCCTTCCGTTTCCTCCACTGCACCTTCCCTTCCTCCCCTTCCCACTCCTTTCAGTCTTGCCTTGGTATTACTGGAAATGACAAACAGTACAGGTTGTAAAGGGATTAAAAACTGCTCTTCCACTGTGAAAGAAGAGCTAATCCTCACTCCCTCTCTTAGCATGAGAAGCTAACAGTTTCCGGTAACTTTTGACTTTGGTCTCCAAGCTCACTCAACTTCTCCATTACTACCCAAGAAGCTAAAAAAAAATAAGTGGTGATGGAAAACAAGGTGCTCAGTGTGAGTTTCATTCACAAAAGCACGTCATACGTACACATCCCCTGCTCCATGGACTCTCTCTAAGCCACTCTGGACCACCATTCTATGCCATAAAGCAACTCCTCACTTTGCCTACCCCTCCAAAAAGGACACTTATCCTTCTCCTTCCTTAAGGAAGGCTGATAGTCAATGATGCTTCCTCGTTACAACTAATCAGTGCCAGTAAAGTCTCTGTGATTCAGGACAAAAAGAGCGGGGTGCTTATAAATGAAGCAGCAAATGTTTATTCTTCTCCGAGTTAAGATTTAGACAAGTTTACAGAGAAAGGAAAAGCCCTGCGTTCTAGCTAAGAGAAACCATGCCATAATAAGTGACCTGCCACTGGTCACCATATGCCCTTACCCGGTTATTCCTTAGAGACAAGAGTGCTATCAGAGAGCTATTTGCTGGCACAGCAAACTATTTGCTTGGTGCCATTCTGCACCAAGGCTCAGACAGGTCTTAAGAAAGGAGCTTGCTTATTTCCTTACCCTCTGCTTCCGCAGGCTTCCTGGGCTGGTGGGTGATGGGCTTGGCGACTTGCCTGAGCGTGGAGTAGAGAGCTGACTACCAGGGGTTCCATTAACTAGAAGTACAAAGAATCACAGAGAGGAAAAATGGCATGTTAAGGAAGTTTCATGACAAGTCAACTTCTCAGAGAAATTAACAGTTACAGAGGAACATTTGCTAACATTCCAGACATCTTTTTATCTGTGGTCCTGAGAAAAAGCTTCAGGGGATAACCTTCAGAAGAAATTCAGTTTTATTAATCCTATGTTTAATATAGCAGCAGGTTACACACAAAAGATTTTAAACTGTACTTTTCACAACTTTCCCGATGAATATATTAATGATGTTTTGAACTGTACCAAAAAGGATTTGGGAGATGTGGTTAAGGCCCTGGGACATTTTCCATGGGATCAATCCTTAATTCTTTAGTGTAGCTTCCCATTAACACCCAGTGGGAGTAAATATTAGCACAGTTCACAAGTGATATTCTCAGTGACTTGTTAAACTGAATCACTGTCTTTTTATAGTGGAGAACTGACTTCTCGAAGCTCCTGCATCCACTTCTGCCCTGTCCATCTCCTTAGGCTGAACTCTTAAGGACCTGCCCTCCACAGGACAGAGTAATAGGCACAGACACTCGGGAATTCCTCCCCTCTTGTCTTTACCACAGTTGAAAACTAAAAGCTGCTTTCTAACAGGTTTCAATCACTGCAATCTCACCCGATTATTAGGACTTTTATACAACATGATCATTAAACTGAATCAAAGCCACAGAAATCAAATAAGCAATTCTTTTCTCTGAGTAACAATAAAAAAACACTTAAAGACATGACTTTATAAAGATATATAAGGTTACCATTATTTTACCTGTAAAAATGACAACATTTTTACATGCCTTACATCCACAGTCAGTGAAGGAGAATTAGCCATGAGACACACACACACACATCCTTGAGGGTACATAAGAAACATTTTCCAAAAGGGACAGCAACAATGCAGTTAAACTTACCTTCTATGAGTTCTAACATGGACACAGTCTTAGTGTTTGAACTAACAATGGCAAGAGGCGCAGTCCCTTCTCAGCACTTAGCCCGGCACCGCGGGAACGGAACGGGAGGGACGCGGGTGAATTAGTTAAGGATGGCTAAGGCTGCTCCCAGAGCAGGCTGAATGAGATGCAGGCTTCATCAGCAGATGCCTTTCCTGCGTAAGGCTGACGTCTCCCAAGCAGCAGTGGGAGGTGCGGGTTCTGTCTTAGGCTACATCAAAGGTGTCAATTAAGCCTCATGCCAACAGGAGACACTGCTACCCCCTCCCCGACACCACTAACTCCGGAAGCAGGAGCCCTTTCAGTACTTTGCGCTGAATATAACAAAGTGCCTCTGGGGGCAAGAGACCCAATGACTCATCTGAAAATCAAAATGACAGTAATGCTTCTAAAGCCTGCTAACTATCAGGTACTCAGTACATCTTCACAAAATTCAGTGGTAGGGTAGGATGTTTATTGATTTTTCATACACAGTGTTTGCACAAAACATTATTAGGGCCGATGAAAGTGCGAAGGTCTTTGTTTTGTCATCTCCAAAGACCTTTAAAAAATGTCATATTACCCACATTGCACTAATATGTAATTTTGCCTTTGCAATGTATTTGGTGACTCAAAAAAAAACCCCCCCAAAAATCTCTTTTTTCCCCTTTTTTTGACAGCTTGAAGTAGGAAGCACTGAGAAGGCTTTAATTTGCTTGCATCCAACAGTCCTTTCTGTACTGAACTTGATGCTCAGGCCTCTTAGCCGGGACTTCCCAGTCAGTAGCCTCTACAGAAAGGGCTGTGAAATAGACAAGGACTAAAGAGCTGTGGGCAGAGGCAGAATCTACAGCTAATAAACCCATAAGCATGAGGAATCCCTAGGAATCTCTTGTTCCTAGGGAAACAGGTTTCAAGAATGCAATATCGTCTTTGCCCACTTCTGCTCCACTTTACTTCTTTACGTCACACCTAAAAGCTTCACGGGTTGGGGAGAAATGAGCAAATGGGTAAGCAAACACAGTATTGACATTTTTTAATATTGAGACTACTCTTATCAAGTCAATGGGGGGAAAAAAAGTGAACTTACAGGAAAACAGCCTTAGGAATACCTTGTTTAAAAAAGCAAAACAACACAACAAAAAGTGCATTTAGTAAGTGCCTATTATGTGTGCATCTCAGTTTACTGAAGAATTTATTTTCTTTGGAGCAGTTAATATACTTTATATACAGAGGGTGCCAAAAAATGTATATGCATTTTAAAAAGAAAAAAAAACTATTAAAATTGTAATAATATATACTGATAACAAAAGATGAATGCAAGTCATGTTTGACTTCTGCAATTACAAGAGGTGCTCAAAGGGGTTACCATCAGTGTCCAGACACTTCTGATTATGGCGAACTACTGCTTGAGCAACGTTGACCAAAGTGTCCACTTGTATACCTTTTTTGGCACCCCTGGTACCATACACACACACACACACACACACACACACACACACATATATATGATGTATGTATATATAAACATATATATTTATATATATATATAAAATTTAACTCTGTGAGGCAGGCAGTATCATTTTACAGAGGAGGAGACTGAGGCATAAAGATAGATGATAAGCAACTTGACCAGTAAATACAGGGTAGAGCTGGAGATCTAAGCTAGGCAGTCCAGCACTGCACTCTTCAGCAGCCTTCTAGCCTTCAGGGAAATCAGGTCACCAAATGAGTCATCACAGTCAAGTATTTTGAGAGGGGAAGGAGTGGGTGCTGCTGTCGGAATCCTAACAATCTATGGGGTCAAGTTGGCCTGCACTGTCCAGAAAGGTTAACGGATAATGGAGCCAGAACCTAAGTATTAGTAGGAGCTCCCCAGGAGAGGGAGGGTGAGGAACGATACAGGAGAAGTGTGCCGAGGCAAGAGACCACCTGTTTCGTGTCTGGTCGTGGAGGAGGGAGCAAGTGTGGTACCTTAAGAGACCTAAATCAGTTAGCTCAGCAGATGCCGGGAGTTGGCGGGGAAACAGCCTTATGAATTAGGATGCAGGAGGGGAAGCAGGTGTCGCATAATGTAGGGCTTCGCAATTAATGGTCTCTTCCCACTGGGGCACTCGGACCTGCTCTCTTCATTCAAAGCCACTGGGCTCGGGCTTCTATCTGTGTCTCATCTCTCTGGAAAAATAAAGTTGGGCTGCCAAACAAATCATTTACAATCAAACATGTTCGGAACACAACCAACTGGAGAGCTGGGAAAGGCCTGTATTCTTAGGGTCAGAGTTCTGATCAAACTCTTCCTTTTGGCCACATAAAAAGCATTAGTAATTTCTTAAAATGGCTCTTGACACCCAGAAAACATCCCGCACCTAACTGTTGAATCCCTGTCGGAATACATAATTTTATTTCATAAGTAAGTTTGACACACGTATTGAGTTCAGCTGCTTTTTATCCTGTAATACCAGAAGTCTGTGAATGCCAATAAAAAGGACTTTGTCACTTATTTAACAGAACTTATCAAAATTCGACTAGCAAATGGCCTTCCTTTACATAGGGCTTTATTAAACAATTCTACATCATGAATGGGAAACATTAAACTTCATATGGTTGTTTTCAAATGGTAAAGCAGGCCTAACAATTACTTCAGTCTGAAGTCACATCTGAATTACTAAAGTACTCATCAGATTCACCCCTTTATACCCAGTTCCGGTTTCCTTTGCTCAGGTCTGTCGGGTATATTATCCTTAAATCCTCTTTCCCTTGCTCTGCTTGTTACTTCCTGAATGACAGGTGCTAAACTTTAGGCTGGATTATTCACCAATCCCCTGGGGACCAGTTACATATCTGACCACCAAAGAGCCGTGGGAAAAAAGTCTGTGGAGCTGACTTCTACATCCTTCTTCTACGGTCCTCTCTTTTTTTCAACTCGTCCACCACCTAGTCCCACCAAGGACACAACAGCATGGATTGGTCACAGCACATTACTCCTCAAGATGGATCCTGCCTCACCTTTTCCTTCATTTCAGATAGGTGACCCCACTCTATTTTACTCATTGGCGCCTGTAATCAACCAGTCGGTACACACAGCCATGTACTTACTGTGTGCCTGACTCTGTCCACTGGTCCTGTCACCCAAAGCTTATAATTGAATATGCAAGTTACTAAAACATTCTATAATTTAGAATTACTTGGCTTACTTTCATTAACTCATTGCGCCTTTTAAATGACTAGGCTCATGCATACAGTAGTTTAGCAACCTCTTTGTGAGCTTAAAGTGTTCTTCTCTTTACAGTTGCATCCTTTTAAGTCTCAGACATCAAGTGAAAGTTAAATGTTTAAATGTCTCAAACTGATCCTGAAATTAAAGCAAGACCATCTAATTACAAGGTAAGTAACATTTTGGATGTGAACATCCACCTTGTCCTTTCCCTATCTTCTTTCTGCACTTGAGGTAGCTCATTTATTTAAGAGGAGGGAACATGTTTGCATATATATGGGTGTACGACTGTGTATTCAGGGGGGTGGTGATTCAGGCGTGTTGCCTGAGAGATCTGGCTGCTTGTCTTGGATTTTCCTTCACTCTCTGTTCATGGAGGAGGCTGTAGATACTCTAATTCTTTTTCCCAGCCCTTGTCCATTGCTTGTTACATTATTGAGAGATACAAAAAAGGAAAGAAAAACAGATGGAGTCAACTGAGGCGAAGAGAAAATAGATAACTGTCTACTGGGCAGGCAGAGAATCTTGGGAGATGATGCTTTCTTCTAATTCTGTCTACATAGGGGCTAAGCTCAGAAGTAAGGTGGAACCCTGGTTTTCTCCATTTGTCTACATCCTCATTTTAAACTGAGACAGTGGGTCCAATTCAAAGGGACTATCTACTGAGAATAATAGGAAGTGGGAAGTCAATAGAAACAGTGGGGATGGACAAAAGGACATGTCTCTATGAATTTTTAAAACTAAGTATTTACACAAAAGGTCCTTGAACTGCAGGAAATCTAAGCAACTTGAATAGATCCTAGTATTTCTCAGTTCACACATCTGCTCAACATTT